TGCAAATGTCGAGCCGCAAACACCATACCTATAGTAATGCGACCAAAACGGAATCCACACTGCTCTTCCGCCACGTTAGGTTCCACAATCTGACTGACAAGGCGGTTGAACAGGATTCGGGCAATCAGCTTGCCCACACAACTCAGCAAGTTGGTCCATTATCATGCGTTTTTGACGTTGCATAATTCGCACAACAGTGCTTGCTCCCTATGCTCTTGTACAGTGGTAGCACATGGACATCCTTCAGCTCAGGAGGCACCTCCTCCTCAATCCACACGCGTTGTACCATATGATGCAGCGAAGTCACCAACGTGGATCCACCGTCTTTCAATACTTTAGGCGGAATCCCGTCAGACCCTGCACACTTGGCGTTTCGCAGTTGAGCAAGTGTTCTCTTCGTCTCATCCAGTGTCGGCGTGTCCGCCAGAATCGCCTTCACATAGTGCTGCCTCAGGCCGTTCAAATTACGCCAGTCGATCTCTTAACGGTTGTTCAAGAGCCAGTTAAATTGCTTTTCACAGCTCTGTATTATGTCTGCAATCTGGTGCAGGTAGCGCCTGAACTACCATCGATTAGCGTCCTTAGCGGCTCCAATCTGGGCCCATACACCGTCCTCAAAGGTCACAGAATACCTTGTGTTGGCATCGTTGGGCGTAGAATTTCGTCTGTCTCGCCTTCTCCGTTCAACATGCATTTTTAATGCAACGCGTCTCTCGGGTCAATCGTCGTCAAATTCGCCCAAACATTCTCTTCTACCCCAACTCACTGCGATCTGCCACAGGCGCGGGAACTCCTGCATTCTTCTTCGACACCAGTGCGCCAATCGTCGCATTGTTCATATAAAACCATTCAGGTCGCTTACAGTTTGCGCGCCCGATGGTCTCCTCAGCGGCAGCCATCAACTGGTCGCGAATGCGGTGCCACAGGTTGCGCAATATGGTTATGCATTCCACATCACACGTGTGTGCAGCCATCGCCTTCTCCAACTCAGTACGTTTCACCACAGTACCGAGGGAGAGTGTTAAATTTACGCCGATTCACGGCGGGAGTGCAATACATAGATTTACGAAAATATATATAAAGTTTGGTCCGCACCAATTTGTGATCTGTACCATACTTAGCTCCACGCAGTACACGTGTCATGCGCATTTCACGCATGTCACGCTGACCTACGATAACATAGTAGAGCAGGTGATCGTGACATCTCCGTGGGTGCATCCAAATTGCTATATCACTCGCACTGAGTGCAAACCGTATATTCGTGATCGTCAGGCCGTGAGTGGCACACAGTGAGAGCAGCCTGTCAACATTCGCATTCGCCGAAACAATGCCAAGAGTACCGATGTCATCTGTCCACACCGATGCATCACGCCCAACACGCGCGTTGAAATCACCCAGCAGAAATGGTCGGTCGCTGCTCGGCACCACAACGTAGCACGGAGGATAACTGATGGTAGGATCGAGCACGCGTGTCATCAGGATAACACATGATCGGATCCTACGTGTTTAAAAAGGTGGCCAACTTACCTTTTCTGAGTCGTAGGCAATCAGTCATAAGTCGCGCACTGATACCAGTCCGCTCATCCACCGGCTGGTGATTTACTCGATCAGATATTGCAAATCCGACCCCATGTTCACGTGGTGCAGAGGTGGCGTTACCCACCCAGGAGAATATGCAGCTAGCGCCAGCTTAATGCCACTTACCTTGCTCAGCGAGCCGGGTCTCACTGAGCGTAGCAATATCGATGTTGCAGCACGCCAGTTCCATTGCGACCAGTGCAGAGCGCCGCTCACTGCTCTCACTCGAATTTCGGACCAGTTGTGTGCGTACGTTCCAGCACTCGATCTTGGATATTGTGCGCGCGGGCATACGATGGCAC